AAAAATTATTATGATGTTAATAGAGCATGAAAATTTATGTGATGTTCATTGAGTGCGAAAATTGATATGATGCTAATTGAGTGTAAATATTGAAGTGATTTTCATTGAGTGTAAACTGAAATAATGCTCATTTGTGCAAAAATTGATATAATGTTACTTGAGTGTATAAAATGGATACGATGTTCATTGAGTGTGAAAATTGATATAATGTTCATCGAAAGAGAAAATTGAAATAAAATTCATTGAGTGTAAAAATTTATATGATGTTCATCGAGTGTAAAAATTTATATAATATTCATCGAAAGCGAAAATTTATATAATGTTCACTGAGTAAGAAAATTGATACGATGCTCCCTGAGTATTAATAGCTCAACTTTACATCAAGTTGAGTTGTTAATTAATAACTTTTATGGCCCTGGACCCCAAACATTAGTGAGCGAGGACCACTGATATGTCGCGTGTGATGGCCTACATGTGGTGGACCTTTTTAAGCTTTTGGACCATTTTAATCCAAATGGACCTTTTTGGATTAAAAAAATTGGACCTTTATGGAATCCAAAAATTGGAAAAATGGACCTTTTGAATTAAAAATGGACCTTTTTAATCCAAATGCACTGTATATAGTAATATTAGCCTTGAATATGTTACCTCCTGTGTGCAGTAATATGTCATTCATATTTTGCTAATGATAAGCGCATTCAAATTGATAATATGTCCACCGAGTATTAACAGCTGAACATTAAATCAAGTTAATTAAATTAATTAATTAATAACTTTTATCGGTTGAATTTACCAATGGGTCTCTAGAGGGGTGCAGGTTGCTGGCTGTTGCTGGATTATCTTGCGTCAGGCAGATAACATTTTATTGTTGCTAAATAAGCTAACCTTAAATTGCTTATAACACAAAAAACGTTTGCATATGATTATAATAACGTTCGCTTACCACTAATAAGTAGTCCACATACCACAGCTCCATGGTTGAACTAGTAGTTCAAACCATGCCACTGCTCTGCTGGTCCTCCCACTAATAATGGAAGGGGTTTCTCATTATTAGTAAACGGTCTATTGAATAACCCAAGCGTTTGATATTAGTAACTTTATTTGGACAAAAGCTGATGCCGAAACCATCATAATGAAGATCGTTATGACCAAATCGTCATTAAAACTTTGTTTGTTTAGGAACAAACAACTCTTGATGATGGCCTCGCTTGGCTTTGATGTTGCTGAAGAATCACCAACATCATTGAAAATCATAGGTATATCAAAAGAGTATTGGACTGTAGACTTATTAACACCAAAATTGTTCGGTCAGGGTTATTTTCGACGAAGAAAGTTTTTACCGTTAAAAATTCGCATGAACTCGTACGTAAACTTTTATACTTACGTTCGTGTTCGTAATTTTTGGCTTCACGAAAAGGAACAAAAATCGTTGTCGTCCTTGACTACGGAGAAATACTTGGCGATGTTTTTTTGACGACAATCCACTACAAATTCTTTAAGGCCTGGAAAAATTGGGAAAAAATGGATTAAAATTTCAAACGGCGGTTTAAGAAGAAAAAAAACTCGAAATTACTTTTGCGTTGAAGGTTACAGGTTAAGCTTGACGAGATAGACTTTGAAAATATTAATTATTACTGCTTGGTTTAAATTACTAAAGTGTTAGCTTACATCTGACTACATATGAAAACAGTGAGCGAATATTTTCTACTTTACATGACGTAAAGAAAACGAGTTCAGGGGGAACTAATTAGTTCTTCACGGACACCGCTCCGGCCGTCTGCTTTCTGACACAATGGAGCTTTAGTGTCGAAGAAATGCTTATTTTCTCGGGAGACTAATTACAAACGTATTTTATTGAGCTGCTAATTAGTAGCTGAGCTAATTAGCGACACTAATGAGATCTCGCGTGACGTCACACAGCGACATTTTACGTGAAGTCCTGAGAGGAAACTGACCAGCGGAGGTGCATAGAAAACGGGGAGAGGTTTGGGGGAGGTGAGGGGGACTAGTGTGTTGTGGTACACTAGGGAGTTGTGGTACACTAGTGAGTTGTGGTACACTAGTGAGTTGTGGTACACTAGTGAGTTGTGGTACTGGTACACTAGTGAGTTATGGTACACAAGTGAGTTGCGGTACACTAGTGAGTTGTGGTACACTAGATGTTGTGGTATACTAGTGAGATGTGGTACACTAGTGAGTTGTGGTACACTCACCTCAGCACGCCTCAGCACTCCACTCCTCAGCACTCAGCACGCCTCAGCACTCCATTCCTCAGCACCACAGCACGCCTCAGCATTCCACTCCTCAGCACGCCTCAGCACGCCTCAGCACATCTCACAATTCCCAAAGTTAGTCAAGTTTGAGAGTTCGGCCGTAATGAAGTTGTTGCAAGTGCCTCAGTGAGCATTGAAGTGAAACTTGCCAGGGACTGTGAAACTTGTCTGGGACTGTGAAACTTGCTTGGGAGTGTGAAACTTGCCAGGGACTGTGAAACTTGTCTGGGACTGTGAAACTTGCCTGGGACTGTGAAACTTGCCTGGGACAGTGAAACTTGCCTGGGACTGTGAAACTTGCCGGGGACTGTGAAACTTGCCTGGGACTGTGAAACTTACCAGGGACTGTGAAACTTGCCGGGGACTGTAAAACTTGCCAGGGACTGTGAAACTTGCATGGGACTGTGAAACTTGCCAGGGACTGTGAAACTTACCAGGGACTGTGAAACTTGCCTGGGACTGTGAAACTAGCCTGGGACTGTGAAACTTGCCAGGGACTGTGAAACTTGCCAGGGACTGTGAAACTTGCCAGGGACTGTGAAACTTGCCTGGGACTGTGAAACTAGCCAGGGACTGTGAAACTTGCCAGGGACTGTGAAACTTGCCAGGGACTGTGAAACTTGCCTGGGCCTGTGAAACTTGCCGGGGACTGTGAAACTTGCCAGGGACTGTGAAACTTGCCTGGGACTGTGAAAATTGCCTGGGACTGTGAAAATTGCCTGGGACTGTGAAACTTGCCTGGGACTGTGAAACTTGCCAGGGACTGTAAAACTTGCCTTGTACTTTGAAACCTGCCTGGGACAGTGAAACTTATACAATTGTTGGACTATTGTAACTATACTATAGACTTATTTCATTTCAAGTCTTAATCGCTGTTTTAATCTCGTAATCTTCTCGGTGTAATCTCATATCGAGAGGAATGCATCATACCTTAATTAATAGCTGTCACACATCACAACGTCAAATCGTTTACTCGTAACTAACATAACAAATCCGTATCTTGCTATTAAATTTTAATTACATATGCTGAAGTTTATAACGAAAAAAAATTATTCCAGCAATTTTGAAACCTGAATTCCCTTATCCCGCTCCCTCGCCCCCTAAAATGATGGGGGGCGCCCCCCCCTGAACTCCCTGGCCCCCCTGAGTGGGGGGCGCAAAGGACCTTACACAACAAGGCCGTTTTTTGGGCGCCGGGGGTCGGACGGCGCAACTTGAGCCAACTTTGATGATAAAATGCGAGTGTTTTGAGCTCCTGATGGATGTGGGGGGACTTGATGTGGTGGGGGGGGGTTATAACAGGAGGGTGGGGGAAGTTAGGATGGTTATGGTCCACCTTCACGCGGAGGATGATAGTCCGCCATCATCACCATCATCATATACATGTCATGGTGGAAGATGAGTACCCAAGATAGTGGATGACGGGTGGATGACTTGATGTCGAAGATGGGCGGATGACTTGATGTTGAGGAAGGTTGGATGACTTGATGTCGAGGATGGCGTGGAAGACTTGATGTCGAGGAAGGGTGGTTGACTTGATGTCGAGGACAACATTGCTCCGGTTCCTCATGTCGGGCGGTATAGAGGATTAAGCTAGCCCTGTATCCAACGCTCAACATAAATATGCGCAGCTACACTTTGCTGTACAGCCATTAAGCTACAGGCCACAGTAGAAACATCGCAAGCCATACCAGTTATACGACGGCTTTAAAGCCAAAAGCGCCGTATGTCCATGTGTCTCAAAATCCCAAATTTTGAGACACAGGGGCGCTTTTGAGACACTTGAGCGGCCGTAGTCGTCTCGCTTTCGGCACTATCGCTCGGAGCGGCCTTGAGACACCTAAGTGTTTCAAAATAGTTGTCAGTTTTCTGTCAGTGTGTCTATTTAGTCTTCAGGGATGTCAACCCAGCATGTCATATCTCTACACTTACCCCGCCTCTCCACCTGCTGCAGTCAATCCCCGTCTGTCAAATCAGGGTCAGAACTAAATCAAGATGACCCACAAAAGAGCAAATGTGAATCGCTATTTGGACAAATTTACTCATTACTCAGAAGGTGGGACTAGCTGTCTTCTAGCACGCATCACTTCATACAGTCTCTATTGACCTTAACTCCTTCATTCTAGTCCATTTTTTCCTTCATTTCTTTCTTCATTTCTTTCCTTGATTTCTATACTTCTTTTATTTCCATCATTTCTTCCTTCATTTCTTTCCTTCATTTCTTTCCTTCATTTATTTCTTTCATTCATTTCCTTCATTCCTTTCCTTCATTTACTTCCTTCATTTCTTTCCTTCATTCATCGCACCTAGTCATATTTTCCCATAATTTCTTTCTTCATTCTTCGCTCCTCTACATAGTCTCTGCTACGCACCACCAATCTCCACCCGCTGCTCCATCCTCTCCTCTCCTCTTCGTCAGTTCTGATTTTTGCAACGCCGCAAACTTGGCGACCAACTTCCCGAACTTGTGTCTGCTCCGCTTGGGAATCCAAGCCTCGGGCCAAAGTTAGTGTTTAAGTAAGGGACCTCGAGGGCGGCAACGAGCCAACTTAACCGCTCTTTTAATTGCCAAATGATGAGCAGCCGACAACCTTGACTGGAATTATAGGTATTTTTATCATAAGGATCGGTGGCCGCCGGTAGTTCGGCCATAATGCCGGCGAAGTGAGGAAGAGGGAAGTCGGCACGCTAAGTGACGAACGAGGGGACGCCTGGGGCCTGCAATACCTAGTGTCCCCGGGGGCTGGGGAGCTGGTGGGTCGCGTGGTGGGTCACGTGGTGGGTGACGTGGTGGGTGACGTGGTGGGTGACGTGGTGGGTGACGTGGNTAGGGCTTGCAGCAATAGCCCTGGCAGCAATAGAGCTTGCAGCAGTGGGACTTGCAGCAATAGGACTTGCAGCAATAGAGCTTGCAGCAATAGAGCTTGCAGCAGTGGGACTTGCAGCAGTGGGACTTGCAGCAATAGGACTTGCAGCAATAGGGCTTGCAGCAATAGAGCTTGCAGCAGTGGGACTTGCAGCAATAGGACTTGCAGCAATAGGGCTTGCATCAATAGGGCTTGCAGCAATAGGGCTTGCAGAAATAGGACTTGCAGCAATAGGGCTTGCAGCAATAGGGCTTGCAGAAATTGGACTTGCAGCAATAGGGCTCGCAGCAATAGGGCTTGCAGCAATAGGGCTTGCAGCAATAGGGCTTGCAGCAATAGGGCTTGCAGCAATAGGGCTTGCAGCAATAGGGCTTGCAGCAATAGGGCTTGCAGCAATAGGNATTCCAGCCACACCATGAACATGACACAGCCATCATATTCCAGCCACACCATGAACATGACACAGCCATCATATTCCAGCCACACCATGAACATGACACAGCCATCATATTCCAGCCACACCATGAACATGACCTGTCTCTTATACACATCTAGATGTGTATAAGAGACAGGTGCAGCACTGCGATACACTGAATTATATTATAACCATTACCATTTAATGGTAGCATTGATACATGGATAATCATTCTAATGGTGTGAATTATATGATAACCATTACTATTTAATGGTCACATTGACACATGGAAAATCATTCTAATGGCGTGAATTTTATAACTACTTTTACTATTTAATGGTCGCAATGATACATGGATAATCATTGTAATTGTGTGAATTATATGATAACCATTACCATTTAATGGTCGCATTGACACATGGAAAATCATTCTATTGGAGTGGATTATATGATAACCATTACTATTTAATAGTCACATTGACAAACGGATAATCATTCTAATGGTGTGAATTTTATGATACCATTACTATAGTATTTAATGGTCAAATTTACACATTGATAATCATTCTAATGGCGTGAATCATATGATAACCATTACTATTTAATGGACGCATTTACGCTGGAGCGAATGCGTCTCAGGCTCTAAGTCTCATGATTATCCGGAAAAACTTAGATTTTATTCGCTTTTTGAGACACCATAAAAGAGACAAGCTGTCGCCTCCAATTTATTTTAAGACAATCGTTAAGTTGGGAGAGTTTTTATTAGTTGTTTTAGTGAGGAAATTACAGCGCCGGGCAATTGCCGTGGACATCGCTTGGAAATTCTTTAAAAAATTGCCAAGAAGCTGGTAATTTTTTTACGTGGCAAGGGTGGTTTATAGGCGGCCAATGCTGATATAGGCGGCCAAGAGTGGTTTATAGGCGGCCAATGCTGATATAGGCGGCCAAGGGTGGTTTATAGGCGGCCAATGCTGATATAGGCGGCCAAGGGTGGTTTATAGGCGGCCAATGCTGATATAGGCGGCCAAGGGTGGTTTATAGGCGGCCAATGCTGATATAGGCGGCCAAGGGTGGTTTATAGGCGGCCAATGCTGATATAGGCGGCCAAGGGTGGTTTATAGGCGGCCAATGCTGATATAGGCGGCCAAGGGTGGTTTATAGGCGGCCAATGATATACTGATGATTAATTCCGTTAATTTAGTGTATTTTTAATAATTTATTTCCGGGAACATCGTATTTTTTAACTACAAAGAATATCATTCATAAATTTAATTTATTTATACGTGAAAATGAAGAATCCTGAAAAAATTAGATACGGTTATGTTTTTATTACATGCATGTTTTATTGAAGCCCAGAACATTATTCTTATTAACAATATTTGTATTTTTTTCTCAATTAATCGAACGTACTTACTTATGTATTTTTTTTAATATCAAAGATTTAAGAATCGCATTTAAAATCACACGGTATCCGGCCGACCTTAATTGGAGGAAACTAATAATAATAAATGGAAGGTGTATCATGATCGTCAAAAATTAATCAAATAACACAAATGCATCATATTTAACTAAGAAATATTTTAGAGCGATATTTCTGGAGCTATACTTCTACATGACGGGCCGAATTAAGGGCGAAACAAAGCCACGTTAGGTGCAGAATACTAATATTAATAAATGGAAGGTGTATCATGACCGGCAAAAATTAATCAAATAACACAAAGGCATCATATATAACTTAAATAAATTTTAGAGCGATATTATTTTAGATATATTTTAGAGCTATACTACACGGATCCTATTTAAATAAGTTTAATTTAGATCGATATTATTTTTGAGCGATATTTCTGGAGCTACGCTTCAACATTGAGGGCCGAATTAAGGGCGAAACAAAGGCGGCCATCCACAGTGGCGACAGGGGCACTTCTGTCTGTAAGGACGCGCCGTCTGTCTCTCTGTCCAGCCGTCGTTGTCCATATTTTTCTTGCTGTCACAGAGATGGAGGCGCCGAGATAGTTCTCTGCCAGGACTAATGTCGAGCATTTCAGACGTCACTTAACCAGCGTCGTCACCAGACGTAATTCAATCGTTAACATGCCTGTATTATACAAGGAAATGCGCACCCGGAGAAACGAGTGAGTAGTTGTCTGAAACAATAGTGTTCAACAGCCACTATTGATCACTATTTGAAAGTGTTTAATAGTGTTCAATAGTGTTCAATAGTGTTCAATAGTAACTTTTTAGCGCATTTTTTCATTTAGGTAAGAAATATAACTCAGTACATACTGCAGTGAGTGACAGAGAGCGCATTTTCTCGTCGACGAAAGCATGAAGTCACGGACAGACAGACGGGCAAACGGACGGATGGACAGACGGACAGACGGACAGACGGACAGACAGACAGACGGACGGATGGACAGACGGACGGACGGACATGAAGAGCATAATAGGGCATTTTTTACATAAATGAGAAAATGCGCTAAAAAGACGCTATTGTGCTCGTCATGTCCGTCCGTCTGTCTGTCTGTCCGTGATTTCACGGACGAACGAACGAGAAAATGCGCTCGCTGTTACTCACTGCAGTAAGTACTGAGTTACATTTTTTGTCTATATGTGAGTCATCCTGATTCAGTTTAGCCCGGTAAAAAGACTTATCAATCCTACGTCCGCTATCTAGCTTTGCTGTGGGTAAGGAATTGTGTAGCTATTTGAATATTATGACCCATACATTCTTTTGTGTGCGAGTTTTGTATAATAGCTCTATGTTCTGCATGTAGATTCGTTTCATCAGAGCATCTCATTCATATAGCAATCTTATTTCAGTTAAATAAAAATTTCGTTTTTGCGCATAAAGCTTCTCGAATAAGTTATTTTATCCTTCAAAACGTAATTTAATATTTGAATATGATTTCATTCATTGCTCAGGGTTTCAGTTGTGATGTGTTTCGTTTAGCCATTTCGGTTTAGAAGTTCCTAAAACTGCGCTTATATACGTTGTATTGATTCTTATTCATTTATGTTCATTATTCGTAATTATTGGTCGTATTTTTAGCGCATTTTCTCATTTATGGAAAAAATGCACTATTGTGCTCGCCATGTCCGTCTGTCTGTCTGACCGTCCGTCCATCTGTCCGTCCGTCCGTGACCTCAAGTTTTCGTCGACGAGAAAATGCGCTCTCTGTCACTCACTGCAATGAGTACTGAGTTATATTTTTGAATATGTTGTTCGCGCTTCTTATATTATTTTATAATTATATAAATTATAAGTTCTTATATGTTGGAATTACAAAATGTTATTATTACAATGTAAATTACAAATATGTATATGTCATATGAAACTCGATACAAAATTACAAATATGTTGGAATTACAAAAATTATAAGTTCTTATATGTTGTTCGCGCTTCTTATCATCGTTATGCAACAGGATTATAATTCAAATTACGAATATGTGTGTTTGGGAACTAATTGTAACTTATTGAATTGAGTTCCATAATCAAGCCCTTCTGAAGCAACTGAAATTCATGGCAAATGGAGATATATAAATCAAGTTACTACAATAAATAATCTAATTATAAATTTTATGCGTTTTCATTATAAAAGGGTTCTTGATTTAGTGTAGAGATAATGCATCTACTAATTACTAATATTTTCCTGAGAGGTATGTAACTTTTGATATCAAAAACATTACACAATAATTCTACATATCTGGTCTTTAACTTGACTCTAATTAATTTAAACATTATTAATTTATTAGTGATGTTTATTAAATTTGACTGGTATTTTTAATTTTGTTAACTTTTCATTAATTTAATTTAATGTTAATTCAATAACAGAATTTAATGTCCAATAGGCACAAGTATATCCTTGAGCTTACTCGCAAAGTGCTGGCGAGTAAAATTGTGACACACTTGTGATTGTGACACACCTGTGATTGTGACACACTTGTGATTGTGACACACTTGTGATTGTGACACACTTGTGATTGTGACACACTTTTTTACTCACACAAAGAGCAGAGAGCAGACGTATCACTGATACGCCTAAACTGGATCAGGACAACCCACGCATAAGGAAAAAGCGAATCGCAATTTGGACAAAGTCACAGCGATATCTCTGAGCGCAACCAGTTTCTTTCTATTCAGAACTGAATGCAACATCGGAATTGCTGGTGCTGCATCTAATGAAATCTTCTAGACTTTAACCATTGTATAGCCGATTGACTATACAATGGTTAGAGATTAAATGGTTAAAGACGTGTGCCGATTGACTGTAAGTAGTCTACGGACCGAGGCCTTGCCAAAAGCGCTGAGAGGAGGGGAGTTCACCCTTGCAACATTTAAGAGACGACTGGACAAGTGGTTGAGCAAGATCCCGGACTGTCCAGTTATGGGAAACTACCATCAGCAAGTGACAAGCAACAGCATCTTGCATCAGCGTGCCCAAATGAGGGCAAATAGACGGAACACGTCCAACTTTACATCCGACGACGACTCGGAGACGGAGGACGACGAAGGCGGCGCATCAGCGTGTCCATAGACTAAGAAGCCATAAACTCATCATAAGAATATCAGTTAAATATTCAAATTTTTACGAAAAGGCCAAAGAGAAGCCTCGATATGTGGCTATGTAGAATTAGCATTCAATATGGAATTACAATATTTTATAAATGATATAGGTTATGTTCGGTATAGTGTATGGAGAGAAATATGGAAATATTAAATCCAATTTCTCTAGCAGGATGAAAAACAATGCGGCGTATGAGTAAATCGAAACTTGGCAAGGTTATTACTTGAGCAATTAATGTGGTAAACGAGTAACCCACGTTTCCACCGACAGATTGCCGACCGAGAGTAGGAAACTGGAGCTGAAACTTTTGGTTGTGAAGGCTTCACGTCAGAGAGGAAAGTAATAAACTTCAGTCATTTGGGACTCTAAATCTTAGGTTTAGATATGTTAAGTTTTTAATTTGGCCTATGGGACTCTAATCGTTATCTTTTATCATTGCTTACCTGTTATATTATAGGGGCTCATTTCTCTTATCTCTAATTCATTCATGTGAAACTGGACTCATAAAACAATTTGCCATAGCCTATACGAACAATTACATGTATTGCTTCAAACAATATAAGACGAAGCTTGTCGAATCCGATGACATACAGCCATCATATTCCAGCCACACCATGAACATGACACAGCCATCATATTCCAGCCGCACCATGAACATGACACAGCCATCATATTCTAGCCGCACTATGAACATGAATTGCTGTATACCACCCACAGCCTCCCCATGTATCCAGCACTAATATGAGGACAGTTTTGGACGCAAATAGCGAGGGCGTTCGTTCATCAACATCTGAGGGATACGGGAGACTCTGATCAAGACAGACGGCACACGCTGGTGATGAAGTCTTGGAGTATCCAGCGTCTTGATGTGAAATTCTTTAAATAAAAGAGAAGACTTTCGATAAATATTTAGTAAACTATTATATTTGCATGGTGTTTATATTGGTTTATATTGTGTGAAAAGAAATATTTTTGATTTCCTGATTGAGTATCCGGCGTCTTGATGCGAAATTCTACAGATGTAGGAGGAGATTTTAGATAAATATTTAGTAAATTATTATATTTGTATGGTGTGTATATTGACTGAAAAGAAATATTTTTGATTTCTGGATTGAGTAATGGTCATTTACCATATTTGGTAATTTACCATGTTTATTTGTGTATTAGGATGATTGTTAACTATCGAAGTCTCGATAGACGCATTTCATCTGCTAGTCACAAAATCACAAACTGCTATTTATTTTGATAGCACGAGTCATAAAATGTTTCTCAGTTGCAAAATACCGGTATTGAACATGAAATTATTTCACAGCTATCGGACAAAGCGTCAAGGTTTGTTTCATTCTCCGCAACAATTAGCCGATAATGTTCTTACCATGGTTGAACTATACAAGGTTGACCCACGAGAAGTTCCGTCTTTCAGTTCAGCTTTCACTGAGATCGAGAAACGTAAACAAACCCGCTATTCCCACGACGGATTGGTTGACTGGTTTGATAGCATTTCGGTGATTGGTTAATGCCCGTGACGTCACTGAGATCAGTGATGTTACAGACGAACAAACTACATCGCAAAAATTAGCATCTCATGGGTCAACCTAATACTATATAGTTCAACCATGGTTCTTACTCTGCTTCGAAATTAGCCTCCGATCGAACGGCTAATCGTCGAAAATGACGATCGATCTTGGAACCAAGCTTCACTATCTGAAACTTAACCTCAGATTTTGTTAGCCAATAAGTACGTGATTTAAAGAGGTCACGGAAGGCAAATTTCATCGGCGGCCTGGTGGTGCTAGGCAGGTTTCATGCAACTCCAGGAGGGCTTAGATGATTGGTCACAGTCCGTTTTGAGCTGGACAAAATTCGAGCGCTGGTTGGAGAATGAAGAGATGCCTCGATGTGATGTTCAGTTATCATTGTCTTTTCTATTCGTTCCCATATTTTGTGATGTAAATTTCGTGATATTTAAAATAAAATGATGTGGTTTGGTTAATGACGACAGGTTCAATCCGCGGCAGATTGGAGGCCTTAGGGAAAGATAGTCGACGTTCAATTCAGGGTTGATTGTCGTTCAAAATTAGCGCTGCACAGCTTCTGTCCTGTTGAATTTGGCCGGAAAAAAGCCTCCTATGTGGCAACCCTGGCACCGGTCCCAAAGCTGGAGCTCTTTGCTTTTTAAAAATTGAAGGATTGCGTCTATAAAATCATAAAAAGTAATGTAAAAACGACATAGCTAAAATATTATTAATTCTCTGACAGGAACAGACATCAGCTGAGCATCTTGACGGACAAGCCTGTATAATGCTTTATGTAGTGCCTGCTATTTTTTGGCATCTACAGTTACTTGAGGGTTGAAAGCTATCATCTAATTTCAATATCCTTAACTTTTTTCTATTGTAAAACTGTTCTCTGTGGTCAATGTTGCTCATATTGTCGGTCATTTTCCATCTCTTCTGGGTGCTCTAGAAGGACGTTGCTGGGAACCTTCCACTTTTCTTCTGTTTTTCTCAACTGAATTTTCCGACTGTTATTTTTGGCAAAAGTTACTTGAAGGTTGAAAGCTATCAACTACTTTCATTAAACTGAACTTTTTTCTATTGTAAAACTGTTCTCTGTGGTCAATATTGCTCATATTGTCGGTCATTTTCCATCTCTTCTGGGGGCTCTATCTCATTTGGACGTTACTGGGAACCTTTCAATTTTCTCCGGTTTTTCTTAACCGAATTTTCCGAGAAGTTAGGACACAATCACTTTAACCGTCCCACAAATATCCCTTGCCGGCACCTCGCTCAATTATGCACCCCCTTGTCCAGCTGCTAACCCCCCTTTCAGTGGGGATCGTGGAGAGGGGAGGAAGCCGAGATTTTCGTTGGAGTGAATTTGCAAAAGAAATAATTCCACATTAATTAATAGCAATGAAATTTCAAATTTTGAGTAACGCTATGCTTATACAAACCACCCTTTTCAGTGGGGTTCATGGAGAGAGGAGAAAAACCGAGATTTTCGTTGAAGTGAATTTGTAAAAGAAATAATTCTACATTAATTAATTGAAAACACATCTCAAATTTTAAGATACGCTACAGCCGCTAGCTTACCTTTTAGTGGGGATCGTGGAGATGGGAGGAAGCCGAGATTGGAGTGAATTTGCAAAAGAAATAATTCCACATTAATTAATAGCGAAGAAATTTCAAATTTATGGTTACGCTATGCATAGATGTTTCTTCCAAACACGAATCTGCATTTTATGAATATGTAGCTCCAAGCACAAGCTATAGAATATATCCAACAAAGAATATTCCTGGTAATCCTTACCATTATCCCATTATCATCGTCAATAATTCGTGGGAATAATATCAAGAAATGCTGGGATTAACGGATACACTGTTATAAAAAACCGTGAAAAAACGGTCCCACTGGCGTTCTAGTGACCAGTCGCCCCGTGAAAATAAACTGTTTCGCCGTTTTTATCAGATGTTTTACGGATTTCTAGTGTTAAATTACAGTAAAAACGGCGACACGGTGTTTCTTTTCACGTGCCGACCGGCCACTGAAACGCCGGTAATACCGTTAACGGTAATTTTTCTAACAGTGTAGCACCGTCAAACACAAGAAGAAGGATAACCTGCTCCCAGCAGAACAAATTTAAAGGCAACTCCCGGCTCCCAGCAGAGAAAGAACCATGAGCACTTACCAGCTCCTAGCCAGGCAAAAGCTGAGAGCCCCCAGCCCCCGGCAGACCCCATAAGACCTGCTATGAGTGATCGCCAGACCTGTCACGGCAGCCCGAGGGTCTAATCGCCACTGCGTTATTTACGATGCCGAGGGGAGGGTTGGTGAGGGGGAGGGGCATGTGAGGGGAAGAGAGGGTGAGGGGAGGGGTGGTGAGGGGAAGAGAGAGGAGGGACAGTTGAGGGGAAGAGAGGGGGGGAGGGGCAGGTGAAGGGAAAAGAGGTGGAGAGGGATTAGAGAGGGTAACGCTGAAGCCAGAAAATGTGAGAGGGTAATACGAAGGGCACAAGCGGTGAGAGGGTAACATGGAGGGCACGAGCAGTGAGAGGGTATTATCGAGGGTATTACCGAATCATAGAGGTAAATACCCAGTGGTAACGTGGAAGTAATTTGAGTTAAGTCCATCTAATATTTACTGGAGTAATTGACAGTGAAAATTCTCAGCTCAAGCATCCAATATTTTGCATTTTATCTATTTGGTAATTGCACTTCATCATTAAAGTTACGTACTATTAATTTAAATTTTTTGAGTTATTATTACGATTCGAAACAATGCATGTTGAAATGCAGAGGTGAGATAAAATGATAATCTTTAAAATTGTATACAAACAAAACATTCCTTGTTTGTATAGAAAAGATTGCACACAAACATGTACTCATACAAACAAAATTTCCCCCTGTAACATTCTCATACAAAGTTCCCCCAAACATATACTCATATATAAAAATTTCCCCAATCATATACCATATATACAAATTTCCCCCAAACATATACCATATATACGAAGTTCCCCCAAACATATACCATATATACAAAGTTCCCCCCAAACATATACTCATATATACAAAGTTCCCCCAAACATATATACAAATATACAAAGTTCCCCAAAACATATACTCATATACAAAGTTCCCCAAAAATATACTATATATAAATATACAAAGTTCCCCCAAACATATACTCATATATACAAAGTTCCCCAAACATATACTCATATACATATACAAAGTTCCCCCAAACTATACCATATATACAAATTTCCTCCAAACTATACCTTATATACAAATTTCCCCAAAACATATACTCATATATAAAAAATTCCCCCAACATATACTGATATATACAACGGTTCCCCCTGTAAAGCAACCATCATAGCCCCAAACGCGCGTGTAGTCAAGAGGCCGGAACTCTCGAGTTGTCATCTATCAAATTTTTGACTAACGCTCATTTTTCAAAGTCCATCCGTCCAGTAGAGCGTCAGCAACAAGCCCTTCTCCTCGGATGTGGAAAAAATCGAGCACAATAGTTACTTTGAAAAATATTTGCTCAGAAATTATTTTAAAATAACTTATAACATTTGTGATGATCGTTCAAAATAAATTCTCACGCAAATTATGCATTTGAGACCACTACGAAGAGTCTTGTATGTTGTACTGAATCGCAAATTCGTAATGATTTCGGCTGCAGCTCGAAAAATTCGTGAACGGTGTTAATTATTTTCTTTTCATTAAAAGTTATAATTAGAATTCTAATTTTATATTCTAATTATTCTATTTAGAATTAGAATAATTCTAATTATAAATAATTAGATAATATATTTTCATATGTCGGATGCAAAATTGTTTGACTTCGAGCGCATCGAAGCCTCGGGTTTATCATTAAATTTCCTTATGACATTGAGTGATGATTCAAATTTCCTGACCGATGATTCGGCGAAACAGCTTGAAGGTATAAATTATTATTTAGTGTTATCTCTTTGATTTGACATTTAAAATAGTTATAGTTCTACACGCGCACCTGTATTTTTCATTAATAAAGTTTCAGTATCAATTTCACGAGAGAAAAATCTATAACTTATAATTATAACATTAATATGGTTTCAAGATATGAAGATTACATATATATTTTCGATTTCCTATCACACGGATCCCTAGCAAAACGCCAACGCGCGCGCATTAGCTTAAAAAACAAGAAGTGTGCACAAAAATTGCCATCACAACTTCGGAAAAATTCGGTGTGGGTATCCTTTGCCGTCCTGAATCTACTGAAGGAACGGAAGAAGTTTCTGGAGCAAGAAGAAGCTGCTGCAGAACTCAACCTCTAAGTTACATTGGAAAACTTGAGTCCTTCTTCAAAGTTGGAAGCTTATATTGCACCCACCTTCTTGTGATTGCCGCACAACTAAGTTTTATCGGCGCTGGCTCGGCTAAGTTAGGCGGTATAAGAAAACATTTGTTTGGTCTGCCATGGCTAAAGGGAAGCTAGCGTCCCAACGGTTCATGTCTGCAGTCCAGGGCCCCGACAAACCAGGAAAAGTCCCAGCGGTTCATGTCTGCTGTCAAGGGCCCCGACAAACGCAGGAAAAGTCCCAGCGCTTCATGTCTGCCGTCCAGGGCCCCAACAAACCAGGAAAAGTCCCAGCAGTTCATGTCTGCAGTCCAGGGCCCCGACAAACCAGGAAAAGTCCCAGCGGTTCTTGTCTGCAGTCCAGGGCCCCAAAAAACAGGAAAAGTCCCAGCGGTTCATGTCTGCAGTCCAGGGCCCCGACAAACCAGGAAAAGTCCTAGCGGTTCATGTCTGCAGTCCAGGGCCCCCAACAAAACAGGAAAAGTCCCAGCGGTTCATGTCTGCAGTCCAGGGCCCCAAATAGTCCAGGGCCCCGACAAACCAGGAAAAGTCCCAGCGGCTCATGTCTGCAGTCCAGGGCCCCGACCAAACAGAAAAATCCCAGCGGTTCATGTCTGTAGTCCAGGGCCCCGACAAACCAGGAAAAGTCCCAGCGCTTCATGTCTGCCGTCCAGGGCCCCGAAAAACCAGGAAAAGTCCCAGCGGTTCATGTCTGCAGTCCAGGGCCCCGACAAACCAGGAAAAGTCCCAGCGGTTCATGTCTACAGTCCAGGGCCAAGACAAACCAGGAAAAGTCCCAGCGGTTCATGTCTACAGTCCAGGGCCCCGACCAAACAGGAATAGTCCCAGCGGTTCATGTCTGCAGTCCAGGGCCCCGACCAAACAGGAAAAGTCCCAGCGGTTCATGTCTGCAGTCCAGGGCCCATACAAACCAGGAAAAGTCCCAGCGGTTCATGTCTGCAGTCCAGGGCCCCGACAAACCAGGAAAAGTCCCAGCGGTTCATGTCTGTAGTCCAGGGCCCCGACAAACCAGGAAAAGTATGGGCCAACACTCTGGCCCCAGGCTGCAATCTCCTTACGAACGACCCGGCCTGACCGCTCAATATTGGGCCGATTGCTCTCTTTAATAAAGATTGTTGGGCAGAATGCAACATCGTTGCGAGCGAGCGCGTTGTTGCTGTTTATACATGATTTAAGAACACATACTTTCACGCTTGTAAGTAGCGACCCTGGCGCAAAAAAGTCGTTGCGATGCAGATTGTTCTTCGGCTTGAAGATTGCGCATGCAATGCAATCTCTTTATGAACTACTTTTTCATGTTATACTGTTCGCTGCTATTTGCGCATTTTGTGCATTTCAACTCACTTGTTTAATTTTATAAAATTGTATAATATGTATAGTCGCACACTCGGAGTATTTGTGTGTGTATATGAAGCATGGCTCCAATTATACACATAAGCTTGTCTCCAAGATATTTAAGCTTGTAATTTATTTATTTATACATTAATCCTGCCTCCAGGATCCACCGATATTATATAGGAATATCATTTGTAGTTTTAGAATAACGAGACATCGAAGACAGGCGAAGAGAATGAGATTAGAAAACGAAAATTTTTGTTTTATTCTGGTAAAAATTTTATTCACAAAGGAAAAACTAGTTTCATTCAAACTTCAAAACAGGACTCAAATGAGAGTTTATTAACGATTCCAAACAACGCCATGCTAACCTACTACCTTTTTTTATTTATTATATGGAATAATGACTTTCTGTTGTTGTTGTATGACTTTTCATTACAAATGTAAACAACATGAAATGTTTTATCGAATGCTTGATAGATCCATTGTCAATTCCTATTGGTGCGAACTATACGATTTGACTTATTATTATTATATTCATATTGTAGACATTTTCATTGGACTGTTGAGTTCAATTATTTCAGATTTATTTACGAAGAAACCCTTGGATAAAAAGAATATTATTAACTATCTAAATCTAAAGAAATCCGAATAGAAAAATTTATATGGATAGAGGGTCCCTCCTGAAATACTCTATATATAAAAAGGAATCATCCTACAATCCTCTGTATGTACAGAGGAATCCTTCTAGAATCCTCTATATATATTTATCCTTTATTTTGAATATAGAGGAATTCTCCTTGAATCCCCTTAGAATCTTCTATATGAATAGAAGAATCTTCCTAAAATACTCGTTATATAGAGGCATTTTCCTATAATGCTCTATATGTATAAAAGAATCTTCCTAAAATACTCTATATATAGAGGCATCTTCCTAGAATCCACTATATGTTTAGAAGAATCTTCCTAAAATACTCTATGTGGATAGAAGAATCTTCCTATAATACTCTATATATAGAGGCATCTTCCTAGAATACTCTATATATAGAGGCATCTTCCTAGAATACTCTATATATATAGAAGAATCTTCCTAAAATACTCTATATATAGAGGCATCTTCCTAGAATACTCTATATGTATAGAAGAATCTTCCTAAAATACTCTAAATGTATAGAAGAATCTTCCTAAAATACTCAATATATAGCGGAATCCTCCTATGTATAGAGAGTATTAGGAATCCCCCTAGAATCCTCTAGATATCCTCCGTCCACTGTAAGAAATTTTCGATCGATCTTAAAGTTTGTTAAGAGTCAAGCTAGTTAGGAGCTGCCAAACAAACTTCGCTGCCAGCCGTGTTCCAAACTTCGTAGACGTTTTCCTTGTTGTTGTCGTACCCTAACAAAATTTAGAGTCGCTCCAGCTTCTGGTAATCCAAATCAGAAGCTGCCGCGTCTGCAAATTTTCACTGTAACAAAATTTAGAGTCGCCCCAGCTTCTGGTAATCCAAATCAGACGCTGCCGCGACTGTAAATTTTCACTGTAACAAAATTTTAACGGTATTACCGGCGTTTCAGTGGCCGGTCGGCACGTGAAAAGAAACAGCGTGTCGCCGTTTTCATTCTAATTTAACACTAGAAATCCGTAGAAAATCTGATAAAAACGACGAAACAGTTTATTTTCACGGGGCAACCGGCCACTAGAATGCCAGTGGAACCGTTTTTTCACTGTTTTTTCTAACAGTGTAGAACTTTCAGTTGTTTTGATGAAGCAAAGAACTGTAACTTGTTTTCATGAAACTAAGAACTTTGAGTTTTTTGATGAAGCTACGAATTTTGAGTTGTTTTGATGAAGTTTAGAACTCTGAGTTGTTCTGATGAAGCTAAGAAATTTGAGTTAGTTTGATGAAGATACGAACTGCGAGTTTTTTTATGAAGTTAAGAACTTTGATTTTTTATGGAACTAAGAACTGTAACTTGTTTAGATGAAACTAAGAACTAGGAGTTGTTTTGACGAAGCTTCGCACAGTGCAACGTTTTGATGAAGCTAAGAACTTTATGGAGTTTCCATGAATCTGAGGAGTGAGCATTGTTTATACGAATTAATAAATTATCAAGAGCTGTCACTTATTGTGGTGAAGCGGAAAACTATTAATTGTTCCAGTAAACTGGCAACTGTGTTGGATTTTCGAGCTAAGAACTTTGGGTGTTATTTATGTAAGCTGTTAGTAATGTTCTTGCTAAGAACTATGTTTTTTTTTAATAAAACACAGGTTATAGTCACCGGTGATACGATCACTGATATTGTATGTTGTATTGCCTGGTGGCAGGTTCCAGCAATGGTTTTGTATGTTGTATTGCCTGGTGACAGGTTACAGCAATGGTATTGTATATTGTATTGACTGGTAAAGGTTCAGCTAATTCCATTATATATAGTATTGTATGTTTCATCTCGGAGCAATATTATGATAGACGAAGATTTAGAAAACGTGTTCCAAGTTTCCAAACACGGAGCTTGTTTTTTTTGGAAGCTTCAAGAGATTCTCCCAGAAATATAACATAAATTTCCGTGCTGCAGAAACGATACACACTTGAATATTTATCTGAACTAGAACGCGATCTTTCAACAGCCTGGAGATGATAAAATTAAAGATGCGATCTCCATTTGTTGACTATACGAGGAATATCTTCGGTTCCTTGCTCGCGTTATATTGAAATGGAACTGTAGTGGAAAATTGTAAACTGTTTAAGAGGAATTTTGGCAAAAAGTTCACGAATTAAAAAGATAAGATAAGAGACGAATGTAGGAAATTTATTGAAGCGTCTCAGAAAGAGAGCAGCAAGTGCTATAAATTCAAACTAAACTAAAAAATTAACTAATTCTAACTGACTGAAATAAATTTCTAAATAAATTCTAAATTCTTAAATAACTTCTAAATTCTTAAATAAATTTTGAATTCTAAAATAAATTCTAAATTATAGAATAAATTCTAAATTCTAAAAATAAATTCTAAATCTTAAACTGACTAGAAGAATTTGTTAATTTCCTGATATGAGGTTAGAAAGAACTTCATCAATTATTACCTCAATTAAAAAAGCATGGTAAACGAAAGTCAATTACAGAATTGGCTACTGTTGACTCCGCACCGACAGCCTGGAATTGAAGCGAGGAGATGAGTGCTGCCGAGCTATTAATTAGAAATTATTAATTATAATTTTTTCATTAAAGTTATTAGGTAATAACATTCTGATTAATTACTCGGTAGCACTCAACTTCTCGACTAGTTTGATTAATTTGAAAGTCGATTCTAAATTAAATAAAATGTAAACTTTCTAAATTAAATTTCAGAGTACATTTTATTAACATCAAGAAATTGACTTTAATTTTCGATTTTGTGATCGGGATGCCTGGAAATTACACTAATATAAGAGTATGTGAATTTGTAAATATATTTTTATAATATATTTGCGATATTTATTTGCCTCACACAACAGAGGACAAGATACGTGCCTCACACAACAGAGGACAAGATACGCGCCTCACACAACAGAGGACAAGATACGTGCCTCACACAACAGAGGACAAGATGCGTGCCTCGCACAACAGAGGACAAGATACGCGCCTCACACAACAGAGGACAAGATACGCGCCTCACACAACAGAGGACAAGATACGTGCCTCACACAACAGAGGACAAGATACGTGCCTCACACAACAGAGGACAAGATGCGTGCCTCACACAGCAGAGGACAAGATGCGTGCCTCACAAGAAGACTGGCCTCTGAGGCTCAAGAAACAAGCCCCGGAGTCGGAAAATTTCGCCGACATTTTGCGCGTGCGGCGGCAGGCGGCGCAGAAGAAGCACTTTTATCCCACGGAATTTTGTGGGATTTTTTTATCCCACGGAATTTTGTGGGATTTTTTTTTATCCCACGGAATTTTTTGGGAT